ATGTGTTGTAAGTGGAGCAATTTGCCCATTATTAACAATGGATTTTGCTTTAGGTTCTTGACAATGGTATGCTGGTTGATCCCCATGATCAGCATGCAATATCTGATGCACTCTACAAGCTTGTTTCTGACAAGCAGCTCTGGACACGGTGTCGGCAGAATGGTCTGAAGAATATTCACCAGTTTTCATGGCCAGAACATTGCAGAACTTATTTATCAAAGATAGCTTCTTGCCGACCAAGGCATCCTCAGTGGCGAAGGAGTGAAGAGGGCATCGAAGATTCTGAACCAGATTCACCAAATGATTCCCTGAGAGATATTAAAGACATATCTTTAAACTTGAAGCTTTCGTTAGATGGAGAAAAAGGTGAAGATGACAGCGCCATAGGCAAAGCATTAGTTTCTGAAGATGTCACTGCTAATGGAAAGAGTAATTTGGAGAATGATATTGTAAAATTATCAAAAGGTGTTACGAGTAGTACCCAGAAGGATGGGTCCAGTGAGAGAACTGATAACTATTCAAGCAAGCTACCAATGTTGAGGAGAAGGAAATATATTTTTGTAATTGCTGTGGACTCAGTTTGTGATGCAGATCTTGTTGGAATAATCAAAGGTACATTTGAGGCTTCAAGTGGGGACAGGATGTCTGGTTCTATAGGATTTATATTGTCAACGAGATTAACGATATCAGAGATACATTCTCTTCTCATGACTGGAGGCATACCTGCTACTGATTTTGATGCTTTTATATGCAATAGTGGCAGTGATGTCTATTATCCATCTTCAAGTTCTGATGATCTTCTTTACCCTTATGAACTTCCTTATGCACTTGATATAGATTATCATTCACAAATTGAGTATCGGTGGGGTGGAGAAGGTTTGAGAAAGACTTTGGTTCGTTGGGCTGCATCAATTACTGACAAGAAAGGAGAAAGTGAGGAGCAAGTTGTTGTTGAAGATGTGGAACGCTCTTCTACCTATTGTTATGCATTTCAAGTGAAGAACCCATCATTGGTAATTATCTTTTTTTCCCTATTTTTTATTTTAAAATATTGTGCCTCTAGTTTCTTTGTGATAAAAAGCTGTCAAGCTTGTCATGTGGTATCAGATCCCTTGGTGTGACAAAACAAATTAGAGTTTAAATGGTTGTATTAAATTTCCCGTGGAAAGTCTGAAGAATCCTATGTAAAGCAATGTTATTCAAGCAACTGGAATAGGTCATATTTCATCAGAGCTCCAAGAATATCCAAATAGGAAATACTCTTAAATTGGTTAGTATATAGGATACCAGCTACCTCTAAAATCATGAATTAAAAACCAGCAAATTGACAGTCGAAGTAAAATTACAAGTTCGTTCCAGCTATTAACTATTAGTTAGAAATGAAACTTGCTCCAGACTTTCTATTGTTTTAACTACTTAATGCTACAAGTTGCCACATGCAGTTGATAATTAAACATGTATTTACACTATCTGAGTCAAAAACATTGAAATGTTTGACTAATTAATCACCAATTATCTCTATCAGCAAATGAGTGAAAAAATTAAAATTAAGAGTACTAATAAATAGGATAAAGTGGAAAGAAATAGTTCTGAGGGCTTAAAAATGATGGCTAAGACACCCTCAGTGGAACATGAACAGAAAATGAAGCTTGAAATGGAGAAGTTGGATAAGTTTGGATTAAAAAATAGGTTTAGGAAAAGGGTGGAAGAAAGTTCAGGTAGAACAAAAGAAAAAGAAAGGGAGTTGAGGAAAAAAGAGAAGGAAAGAAGTTCAGAAAAAAAAGTAAAAAAAGAAAGAGGCATGGTGGTAAGAGTTGCTAGGCTGGGAAGGTATGTCTCAGCACCCTGGCTTGACTCTTCCAACAAGGATAGGAGATGAGCAAAGAGATGGATGTTATCTTGCCAGATACCAGAGTGCATGATGCATTAAATGTTGACTAGGCTGTGACTAGTATATTTATTATTATAAACTAGCCCCTATGAACATTTTTGGAAATTAGAAGAGAAGTAATACATCCCAAAAGAAGTTGATTAGATTGTTAGATGAATTGTAAAACCTTGAAATTCTTTTGCCTGTGCAGTGGATCTGGATGAAATGCTTAGACATTTAGCCGGTCACTTTTGGCACACTCATAATTTGCCTGATTTCCAAGAGCGTTTATGTTAATTTTAGTTCTGTTTCTTTCTTGGTTGGAAGTTACATGAGTCAAATAATTATTGAGTTGTAAACTTGCTCTATGATTATGTAACTACTGTTTCTTGTATTCTTTTTTTTAGGTTCCTCCTATAAAGGAGCTCCGGAAGCATATGAGAATCCAAGCACTTCGCTGTCATGTCCTATATAGCCATGATGGTAGCAAGCTGCATATTATCCCAGTCTTAGCTTCTCGATCCCAAGCGCTAAGGTATAAATGAAATGCTGATGATGCCATTAGTTTGACTCATTTATATATTTATCTATTATGCTGAAATGTTTTGAATTTGTTTGCCATCTTTTTTTCTTAAGGAATTACATTTCTTTTATTCATCAATTTAGCTATCAGTTGATTAAGGTTGTTCAATTTATACCATCAAGGGTATCATTACCATGCTATTACTGTTAAGTCATTTTACGAACTAACGAAGTCTATGCCAATAACGCAGTGATGTTGTATGGATTATCTTGTTAAATGTTGACACACTGCACTTATAAGTAAAACTAATTTATTGTTATAGCATATGGATTTTCTGGTTAAATGTTGAAACCTGCTGCAGTGAGAGCAAAACTAGTATCTTGTTTAGTAGTAAACCCTTTAGAACATTCATTTTTTGAAAAAAAGCTTATAGGCTATTTATATTGTTACATTCTTATAGAAGATGAAAAAAAACTGCTTTAGATTCATTTCTTTGGAATGATGTAATAGAACATGGGATGCTCAGAGTCTTTTATTGATATATCGTTAGAGCTTATGAACCTTTCTGACTTCTGTTCATCAAGATAATTTAGATATTGAATATTGTTGTCAGCATCTAATGATTTTGTGGTTGTCATTGCTTAACCTTTAATTTATTTCTGTATAACAAATTTTCTCTGTACATGTTGATAAATTCACATCTGCTTTGGTTTATTGAGCTTATTTTAACTAAATATAAGCATGACAGTGATTATCAATGTTAAACACTAATTTTGCATATATACATAATATTAAACTCATACTTCTTTGAAACTGCATGTTTGGGTTACCATTATGCAATGCTGTTCAAAAACAATGTTGCTGGTATTGGATAACATAGTTCTAAAGATTTGCTTTAGCTTCTTGGGTTGATGTTCATTGTCAACTTGTCATCAATTTTTATCATGTGTTCACATCTAAACATATAGTGTTTTATCCCCTACTATTACTCCTAGCGTGTTTACATGTACTAGTGAGTTAGCCAAAAACCAATCCTGTAGATAGCAGTAATACTGTCAAGAAAGGTACTTTTGAGTAACTATTGTCAGGAATGTGAGATCATTTTCTGAAGTATGGACTCAAATACTGTCTTTTCTTGCACATTGTGCTATAGATAGCGAGACTTCACCAAAACCTAATGATGTAGGTAACAGTAACACAGCAGAACAAGGTGACCCTGAGTAACTACTGTCAGGGATGTGAGTTCATGTTCTAAAAAATGAATGCAAATCTAGACTTATATTGCACTTGAAATGGTTTCATCATTCTACTGGACCTGTTTGGTATTAGTATATCAGGCAGTATACCAACATGAACCATCTGGTATCATCCGAAGAACATATAATATCAATTGGTATCACATCATATAAAAAAAGATATGATTTTAAATACTGATCAGTAAAATGCCCACTGGTATACGAAACCATGCATGAAACAAGTATGCTTGATCCTTGCTGCTTGCAATTTATAGGGTATGACAAATACCAAGGAAATGCAATGAGGAGCCAAAGGTTTGCATTCCCCTGACAATCAGTCTCTGTTTTCTACCTTATTCTACGCAGAACTTAAAGTGCAGTGATTTTCATATTTGGTACCTCAATTATCTTCTGTTTAACTACTTTCTCTGCAGGTATTTATTTGTTAGGTGGGGCATAGAGCTCTCAAACATGATAGTATTTGTTGGTGAAAGTGGTGATACAGATTATGAAGGATTACTTGGTGGAGTGCAGAAGACTGTCATTTTGAAAGGTGCAGTCAACACTGCTCCAAGCCAGGTCCATTCGACCAGAAGCTATCTGTTGAAAGATGTTGTGGCATTCGACAGCCCTAATATTCTTCAGATTGAGGGTTGTGGCACCAATGACGTTCAGTCAGCCCTAAAACAGCTGGGTATACTGAAGAATTAGCACTCATCTGCAGACACAGGAGGAGAGTTCAGAGTTTTCAATAAGTTGCAGAAGTTTTTACTGATATTTTTGAAATATATTCCTTTTTCGAGGTGGTTTTTATGGAATAAAAGTACCAGAACTCAATGCTTACATGCTACCATGGGGCATTCTTGTAAATGTAAAACAAATACCTGACACTCTCTTGTGGAACATTTGGACTTCAGTCCATGTCTTCTGTACTTCATCCTGCTGCTTGCCTATCTTATAAAGCCTGGCTTTGTATTAGTCTTGATGAGCTTGCTGGGGTCTGCAGGCATTAATGTTCATAAAAATCTCTCAAGTGACTTGTTTATAAAGTTTAAAATGCCATTGGTATGATTGTTTGCAGATAAATATACTCCATTCTGTAATTCTTTTTCAGCTTCACTCCAATGGTTGTATAAAGTTGATGCATGAATAGGGAAGCTTTTGTTTGGTATTCCTATTCGATATGCTTGATATAGAATTCTATCATATCTAAAGCTGATGTGCTGGTCATGCTTAAACTGCAAGCTAGTGTGCCTGTGTATGCTTACTTATGGATGTTATATGATGGAAGGCTTAGCTTGGATCAGATATTGACCCATGTTTGTAGATTATAGATAAAAAGATAAAATCTTGTTTCATGGACAGCACTGCATGGAAGCAGAAATCTGAATACATTGACTTCAATCTTTTTACAGCATCAAGGCAGCCAAGATAGGAAGCGTCATATGATACGGAAATTACATCAGTTGCAATCTCTAAGCATCAAACAGAATGAACATTGAGGCTACACTAGAGCCAAAAGACCAGCTCAAAATACTTCCAGATACTCGAAGGATTGTATAGGTTTCAGGAAGAAAATTACAACACAGTATCAAGGAATCTCCAAATAATTGATGCCCACAAACCATTTCAAGTTGTCTTGCATTTTTCCAATCATAAAAGGTTCTCCTTTAAATGGAAAAACCATGAATTGGTACTTTTTTTCAGTAGAACATCATTCATCGATCATCAATGGTTGTATACTAGCTCTCTAGGAATTACCAGAAATGGTTTCAGTTGAAGGACCAGCTCCCTTTATTCTCTCGTTTTCTGAATCGTTCTCAATGCCATCTGAACTGTCCTGAGAACTAGAAAGGCTTTGATGACAAGCGGCAAGGTCCGTTCTGAACAACTCGTCATTTTCCAGATTCAGAAGCTTGTCCTTAGACTCTTCTTTAAGCAAGTTGATTACATCAAGCATTGTGGGTCTCTTCTCTGGCTTACTCTGGGCACAGATGAGTCCTACAAGCACCATCCTCCTCAATTCTGACTCCACAAAGTCCCCTTTAAGCTTTGGATCTGCCATTTCTTTAAATCTTCTTTCTCGAGCCAGCGGAAGAGCCCAGTCTGTTATCGGGCGCTTCACAGTGAGGCTCAACTTCTCTATGGGCCTCTTTCCAGTGGCAAGCTCTAGAAGCAAAATTCCAAAACTATAGACATCACAACTCTCTGATGCTTTACCTAGCATGGCATACTCTGGTGCAAGATAACCAAGAGTGCCTTTTACCCTTGTGGTAACATGCGTTGCACCATCAGGAATTAACTTTGCAAATCCGAAATCTGAAACACGTGCCTGAAATTCTGAGTCTAGTAAAACATTACTTGCTTTGACATCTCTGTGGATGATGTGTGGCATTGCCTGATGGTGAAGATACCTGTGAAGTAGATCTCAGTATCATGGCTTCACATGTTATTGAATAAATGAAAGTAGCATTAGAGTGCGTAAGTTTGTAAACTTACGCAATTCCCTCGGCTGAACCTATAGCAATATTCATACGCCTACCCCATCCAAGGAGGCCTTCTCGTGCATGTTGACCATGGAGATGCGAGGTCAAACTCAAGTTGGGCATATAGTCATAGACTATGAGGCGTTCTTTCCCTTCAGCACAGTATCCACGTAAGTTAAGGAGATTCTTATGCCTTATTCTTGCCAAAACCTCAACCTCAACAGCAAATTCCATCTCTGCTTTGTTGCTCCAAACTTTTAGCCGCTTGACTGCAATCTAAACAAAATGCAACTTACCAACAATACGTGGACAAACAATAAATTTTAACATCATATGGAAAAAAAAATTGTAAACTGGGGAATAGCACAAAATATGGTAAGCCTTAAACCTATATGCTCAGTCCCAACTGGCACAAACATGGTGTTATCTAATTTGAGCTGAGCTCAAGCACAAGTTTGTAATAAGCACAAGAGGGAGCTACTTGCCACTGAAACATACTCACCAAGCTAAGCTTCAACAAATGGTTTCATACATCAAGCCTGGCCATCTCGTGAGCTAATCACATTTGATATTTAAGCTCTCTTTTCTAAATGGATAATGAGAATATAGCGAACAGCTCTTTCAGAAAAGCCCAAGTGCTTAGTGATACTTGACAAGATTACTTACCATACTTAAAACTTCTTGAAAAAATTACTTGAACAGGTTACTTATTGGAGCTGACTAAATTAATTTAATATTCTAGTCTCAATCCCATAAGACAATCTGTGTACGAAAGCAATCATAAATTTCTGAGAAATATTATCCCAAGCAAACATGACTATATCACAGAAAACTTCTTTGCATTAATGTATGATTTAGAGTAAGACAAATCTCAAAGGAACTTTAGACATATAAAATATCAGTAATAACTAACAGTCAAGAGAAACAGGCATAGGTAACCCAAGTTTAATTGTCGTAGTTCCAACAGGAATTGAAGCAGGCAGAGGTACTGCAAAGTACACTAAAATGAAGTCATCTGATGATGGAAGAGAAAATATGAAAAAATAGGAAAAAAAACAATCAACAAATTTGGCCATTGACCAGTGTAGCAGGCTAGCAGCTAACTATAATTATCAACACATATGTGGAAGCCATAATTTGGACATGCTGATATAGATGGATTTAAATAGGAGAAACAAGTTCTTTTAAATAAGTGAAGTGCAGTATAACCGAATATAAGAGGATTTCAAATGACTGGAAAAAAAGGGACCCTTAGAAGTGTTTTCTAACAGATTGCTACATCATGATTAGTCATGTATTCTTTAGAAGATGAAGAGGGAAGCTGTTGGCTTTGATGTACAAATTCATGAAAAATGAAACTGAAATATCTGCCATCAGAAAGTTTCTCTAATGGCCATGTAGACGTCGAAAAACATCTCAGATACAGTAATATTAGCATCCCTTGTATGAAGGTGGGGTTGAAATGAAGCCCATAGCCTAGGATTAAACAGCCGTTCTCTATTTTATCCAATCAAGCAGTAAGGTCTTCTTAAATGTATTTAGTGACAGATTAATTACTTCCATAATACTTTTCCGAGTCGTGATTACTGAAGATAACACCTTGTCAAACCATTTGCACATGCAAAATGAGTCAATTGATGAGGCAAGCCAAGCCCAAAAATGAAGAAAATTATGAACAAGTAGACAATTCTTCAAACTTGGAATAAGATGCATTACTAATTAATAGCAAATTTGCTACTGGCATAAATTCTCAAGCTTCTAGAGTTCAGTACTTAAGTAAAATCTGGAGATGCAGAATACAAACTCGACGACAACTCACAGTAAACTTCCTATATATTTGTCAACTGCTTTTATTGGCCATCCGAGTGCCATATACCCGCAAATAATCATATCATTCTCATGTTAGTAACGACATACTGTTCAAATCCATAGCAAATCAATTAATCAAGTACTCCGCTTGATTTCAATCGGCTGCTATAATGATTTTGATACTAGAGAACAATTCCACTGGGCTGCAAGAAAACAAGAGCAAGTGCACATCTGCATGATCATTAAGAAGCATGACCAGCATAAAACCTTCACCAATATTCTGCTTCAGGCCTTCATGTTATACCATCGATCATGCACAAAGCTTTCTATACAAAATATTATTGCAGATGTTATAAATATTCTCTTTAGGTGTTCTTCCAAGTTCCAAGATGTAAGGCCAATTACAAGTCATCTCTAGCCGCAAACATCAAATTTCAACATATTTCAGAAACCTAAACAACAAGAAGGGAGAACATGAATACCAGTTCGGCATAATACCTGAGATCCATCCCGAAGGTGACCGCAGTAGACACTGCCGAATCCACCCTCACCCAACTTGTTATCATAATTGAAGTTATTCGTTGCCGAATACAGCTCCTTGAGCGAGAACACTCTCCACGTCGGCGATCCCTTCTTCCGCCGTTGCCGCCTGCAACCCAAAGGGGAAAAAAAAGAGAGCATCTTTTTAGCACCAACGAACGGTCGGACCACGAAAACCCCCGTACGAGAACGCACCCATTCGCGGATCTCCCACAGCAAAACAAGGAGCCGAAGGCCATCTGCCGCGCAGTCCTTCCGCCCCTTGGCTCCTCTTAATGGTCTTCTGAGCTCCGTCGGTGGAGAATTGGCGACGGCGAGACCTCCAATGCACGCGCCGCCTACGCCGCCGCACCGCGTGGTTGACCTTTTCGGTGACGGAAGTCTCTTTTCCATACGGGTCAAAGAAGGAAGGAGACGGGTCTGCTGACCCTGCGCGATGACTTTAGGTGGAAGTGATGCCAACTACGTGGCGCTTTATGATTCGACTATTTTGAACACTGGGAGCGGCGGTATGAACATTATCGATGGATTCAGAATATGTTGAGAACATTTGTTTTTAATCTATTTTTAACCTTTTTTGGAAAAAAAAAAAAAGTTTACTAAAAAAGGAAGGCAATTAGTTTTGGAAGTTAACTTGATGTGAACAAAGTTGCTTCGATAACCGATCACGTCACAACTTAAGTTACCATAACACGAAATATTTTCTTAATTGGAGCTTATAATTTTCTTTTACATTAATTGGAACTATTTCTATGTTTTGAGTTATTTAGGACATACCATTCATATTAATTGTTGATCTTAGTCAAATGATCAAAATTAAATTGAGTGATTTTCTCAAAAAAATCTCTCATTTTAGATTTTTTAACTAATGTTTTTATTTTTTTTTCCGTATCTTATTTTTTGTAATGTCTCTCGTTGTCGTTCATTGCTTCCGTTATGGTCCTTATTTGTTACGATCGTCATATCCTCACCTATCACCCTCAGTGCACCATGTCCTCGCCCGACATTGCCAAGACATCGTGAGGCCCTTACCCTCCTTGGTGCCTCTGTTAGTAGCTTCATCATTAGCCTCCCTTCACCATTAGCATTGACCCTACCCTCTGTTGCCAATAGGATGATACCATTAACCTTCCCTCATCGTCATCGACAGTGGAGGTGTCAAGGAGGTCTAAATAATGATAGAGAAGGACAAGAGCGAAGGAGTCAAACGAGATAATAATGCCAATAGTAAAAAAAAGACAAGAGCAAACTTAAGAATGATAAACAAGAACGAAGAAAATAGACAAGAGACAAACAAAGCACTTAGTGGCAATAGCAATAGATAAAGACAATGATAAAGATTATGATTGAATTACAAGAAATAAGATGCACTATTTGAGGAAAAAAAAAATGAAAGCACCTATTAAGAAATATCAAAAAAAAAATATTTGAAGGAAAATCAACCAATTATATTTCTCTAAAAGTATTGATTAGAGTGCCGTTCAAATGTGATTTGTATAATAATTTATTCTCTCAGGAATTAGTGGACACTACAATCAATCAAATTGTTGTTGTTGTCTTTACCTTATATTAAATCGAGGCCTTTCTTTAAGGCATCTCATAAACTATATGCATAATATAATTAATCATATTGATTCCATCTAGCAGCTAGTATGCTAAATATCAAGTTAGGTTGTCTCATACGCCATATTAATTGTTGGCCAATATATATATATATATATATATATATATATATATATATATATATATATATATATATATATATATATATATATATATATATACATATATAAATAAAATTGAAATTGGAGCTTGTTATCTACTTTGGTCTCCTAACTTTGTAGGATGATGTATACTTTAGCATGTAAAATGACACCAAGTTGTTGCAATGGGTCTTTCATTTCCACACTAAGCTGGAGATGATGTATACTTTATATATATATCTTATTTGTTTATGTGACCACATTGATGATATCAATTTTAGTGTTCTACCTAAAACAGGTATATTATAAATAAATATGAAATTTCTTTTTCTTCAATGTCATTTGTACTCTTATTCATCCCAAACTTGATTAGTAAGGTTCGACTTATCAGTTTTTCCTAATCCAAACTGACTAATTTTATTAGTTGCTCATGTCGAAACTAATTAACGAGTATCTTAAATATTTTCAAAATTACATATATTATACTAAAAAATTAAATATTTTTTAAATAATGCATATATTATACTAGAAAATAAAGAGATGAAATATAT